GGGCTGCCCTCTCACTATCCAGTGGGGGGACACAGCCCAGACAGGCTCCAACTCCTGGGAGAGGAGGCCTGGGAGGTAGATGGGAAGTCCACCCTCTAGAAATCCTGAAGAACAGGGCATCGGGGGACCTTGAGCACCCACCTTGATCCGTGGTCCAGCCCATGGGAGAGAGCAGTGAAGTGGGCTGCAGGGGACAGTGGCATAGGGAAACAAGGGCAGCAGATGAGGCTGAGAAGGTTCTGGAGCCCTCTGCCCGGAACATCTGGAAAAGGCTGGCTGGCTAATACCATCAAAGAACCCCTCGCTGATGCGGCCAGGGAGACAGCCCAGCGGGCAAGGGAGGCCCAGACAGGAAAACCTAACTCAGAACTCAGCTGGTGGTGGAGCTGCGAGTAAGGTGTGGCATCCAAAAGGCTGGATGGTCACTATTAAGAACAAAGCCAGGGCCAGGTGTGCTTCCCACCCAAGGGGCCAGGCCAGGCTTCGTGTCCCTGCCTGTCAGAAGAAGAAACGTGGGCCCAGCGAGGAAGGAGAACATGGCTTGTGTCCCATGTCTCTGCCCCTTGGCTGGTTCTCAAGGCCCTTGTCCTCATGGCCAGGGCCTGAAAATGAGGCACATAGGACCCTCTGTCAGGGGCGCCTCCCCAGTTACCCCTATCCCACTGTGGAGCTGGAAGGACACATGGACAGACAGCAGGACTTGTTTAGGGCACTCTCCTCAGTCCAGGGCTCCTTCTGGGGTCCACCAAGCCCCTTCCAGGCCTTTTTTTCTGTGAGGTTCCTGTTTCCCACCCCCCCAGAGCAGCCCCATCACTCTCTGGATCTCACCTCTCACTCTCCCCAGGAGACCTCAACCAGGTGAGCCGTCTCCTGGGGCTGGGAAGTGGGTGCCTCCAGAGCCCAGCGTTGTGGTCATCACTATGGGTCTTTTTTTTTTCCTTTCTACTAGTTCATTTACAAAATTTTAATACATTGTTTTCAAGAACAAATTCTTTCAATTTCCCTTACTCCACCCCATCAAATTGTACAACCCCATGATTAATTCCCCCTCCCCCTGCACATCCTCATCCCTCTGCTTCCAGCCTCTCCCACCCCTCCTGGATCCTTATACTCCTTCTACAATAATGGTTTTATACAATATTTATCCTTGTGGGACTGAGTTCACTCAGCATAATGCTCTCCAGCCCCTCCCAAGTTAGGTAATAATTTACAAAATCATTGTTCCTGCGTGCTGCATAGTATTCCATTGGGTGAATGTACCATGATTTCTCAATCCATTCATTTGTGGTCGGACATTTGGGCTGTTTCCATGTTCTTGCGACGGTGAATAATGCTGCTATGAACACTGATGTACAAATCTCAGTTTATGTCTCAGTTCTTGTTTTCTCAGGGTATATTCCAAGTAGCAGTTTGGCACTTCCTCAAAGAGCTGAACATAGAAATGCTGTATGACCATGCTTCTTTGAGTGGCATGTGCTGTTTCGTTCTGCACAGCAGTCCATTTTATACCAAACAAAACACAGAGTAAAGGAAGGAAAGACTTGAAAAGCCACGGCAGGGCCACTGTCCCTGGCATGGATAAGCAGGCCAGGTAGCGGGCTACCAGCTGCGGTCTGCACAATCCCCTCCCCCTAAGGTTTTTCCTCATAAACATTAATTTTTCATGCTACACCAACCCCTAACCCCCTATGGAGTTCCGGTGGCCTAGTGGCAAGAAGCTATGCTTCAGTCCCAAAGGTAAGTGGTTCAAGGCCATCAGCTATTCTGTAGAAGGATGAGCAATCTCCTCCTGTGCCATTACCTGCTTCTGAAAACCCTCTGGAGGGCCAGCGGTGGGTCAGTTCGACTCTACAATACACAACAACCACACCCATATTCCCAGTTTATTCACACACACACACACACACACACACACACATCCACATCTGCTCTCCTAGTAAATCAATCCCTCTGACTGCTTCATTCATGATATCGCAGAACTATAGACAATCCAGATGTAAATGGTTAAACTAACTATGGTACAGCTACATCTTGGAACATGATTTAGCCAAGAATTCACTGCTGATACACACAGAAACTTCAATGACTCTGCAGAGAATTATGTGAGTGGGGGGGAGGCATCCTCAAAATATTACGTACTATGTGATCTCGTTTATATAACATTCTTGAAAAGTATCAACACATAGAAACACAGAAAAAGTGAGAGGCTGCCAGAGATTAAGGCAGAGTTGGTGCAGTAGATATAAATATATAATTGTAGATTTACATGTAGATTTACATGGAGTTGTAAAATATATTTTATAT